CTCAAAAAGTTAGGACCTAGTGTTCAAAGTTTTTGAAGTCAAGTCAAAGAATCAGAGTCTTGCTAAGCACTCTGAGATAACTACTTTGAAGGAGGCACAGTTGTATGTTCCACTTATGTATACCAAGAGCTGTCACTAGCCAGGCATGGTGGCTCATGCCTGTAATCTCAAAACTTAAGGAGGCTGAGGCAGAGGCAGAAGGATGGCTCAAGGGCAGGAATTCCAGACCAGCCCAGACAACATGGGTAGTGGTGCATACCTACAGTCCCAGCTACTCAGGAGGCTGAGTTGGAGGGATTCCTTAAGCCCAGGAGTTCGAGGGTGCAGTGAGCTAGGATGGCACTACTGCATTCCAGCCTGAGTCACAAGGTAAGATAGTCTCTTAAAAAAAGAACCAACACAGCCAGGTGTGGTGCCTCACGCCTATAATCCCAGAGCTTTGGGAGGCCGAGGTGGGCAGATCACTTCAGGTCAGGAGTTTGTGACAAGAGTCGCCAACATGGTAAAACCCCGTCTCTACTAAAAATACAAAAATTAGGCCAGGCACAGTGGCTCATAACTGTAATCCCAGCACTTTCAGAGGCAGAGATGGGTGGATCACTTGAGGTCAAGCGTTCAAGACCAGCCTGGCCTACATGGCAAAACCCAGTCTCAACTAAAAATACACTTGAACCTGGGAGGCAGACGTTACAGTGACCCGAAATTGCACCACTGCACCCTAGCCTGGGTGGCAGAGCAAGACTCCGTCGAAAAGAAAAGAGAAAAGAGAAAGGGGAGGGGAGAATAGGGAAAGGGAGGGGAGGGAAAAGGAGAGAAGGGGAGGAAGGAAGGAAAGAAAGGAAGAAAAGTTTGGAAGGCTGAGGCAGGTGGATCCCTTGAGGCCAGGAGTTCGAGACCAGCCTAAGTAAAATACTGAGACACCATTACTATTTTTAAAAAATACAAAAATTAGCCGGTCATTTCGGTGCACACCTGTGGTCCCAGCTACTCAAGAGGCTGAGGCAGGAGGATCACTTGAGCCCTGGAGTTCAAGGCTACAGTGAGCTATGACCACACCACTGCACTCCAGCCTCAAGACCCTGTCTCAAAAAAAAAAGAAAAGGAAGAAAATTTAATCGTGTAACACATATCAAAAGAGGTCAGGCACGGTGGCACACACCTGTAGTACTAGCTACTCAGGAGGCTGAGGAGGGAGGAGAGCTTGAGACCAGTTCCAGGCTGCAATGAGCTATGATAGCGGCACTGTACTCCAGCCTCGGTGACAGAGTGAGAGACTGTCTCTTAAAAAAAAAAAAAAAAAAAAAAAAAAAATCTCAAAAAAGAAAAAAAAAAGTCTAAAAGAAAAATCCCAAGAATTAGAATTCACACATTTACGCTCTTTTGTATCTTCACTTCATACCCTCAGTTGTACTTAACACTCAAATTTTTAAAAATACATAGTATGTTTAAGGTTCCAAGTAACTGTAATCTAAAAAGTTCCTGTATTAAAAAACCCTTGACAGAAGCTGCCACCATGCCCTTGCACTTCCCAGCCACCAAAACATTGAGTCAAACAAACACGTTTCTTTGCCGGGCACGCAGAGTGGCTCACGCCTGTAATCCCAACACTTTGGCAGGCCAAGGTGGGCAGATCACAAAGTCAGGAGTTCAAGACCAGCCTGGCCAACACGGTGAAACACTGTCTCTATTAAAAATACAAAAATTAGCTGGGGGTGGTGGCGCACACCTGTAATCCCAGCTACTCAGGAGGCTGAGGCAGGAGAATCGCTTAAACCTGGGAGGCGAAGGTTGCAGTGAGTGAAGGTCTCACCACTGTATTCTAGCCTGGGTGACAGAGCGAGACTGTCTCAAAAAAACAAACAAAAACACCTTATATAAATTAAAACAAATACATAGTGCACCATTCCTAAAGAAGTGACATAATGCACCCTCTTACCCACTAGTTCCAAATTAAGTTGCTGAGGGGCTTATTTTTGAAATTAGGAGAAAGGCAGAGAACTTCCAATTTTAAGCCTAATTTCAACTCACTTAGAGATTACTACTAATATCTGAAGAACTACACTAAAACACTAACAACACAGATGTTCTTAAAGGATATTCCAGTAAGCCCAACTGATTATTTCTTCTTTTAGAGTTTAACTTAAAAAAAAAAAAAAAAGGCCTTCACTTACAAAGACCTTCAAATTTAATTCAAGTAAAGAAAAATGAGTGGGCCAATAGACCACTAATGGACCAATCAACATATGGCAGGAATTCAAAGAACTTGCTACTTTGGAACCTAACTGAACTGAATATTATTTATTGTTTGGGGGGGAAAAACATTGATGCCAATCTGATTAATCTCCAGTCATGTCCTAATAGAAAACTCAAGATGATGCACTTTACCTAAAGCAAATTTTTTCATTAACACCAGCAAAACCAAATATAACTGCACTTATATAGGGGTATTCAGCTCATCTAAATATCACTGATTTAATCTTTAGTTAGCCCATGGATAGGGAAAATACATACAGAGTAAATCTAAGTTAACATTACCATTTAAAAATAATCCGCAATTCACATAATGGAAATTGTACATAAAACTACTCAGAGACCCTGTCTCAAAAAAAAAAAAGGGGGATATATTCCATTAGGTGACTGTTTAGTAGTTTTATGTCACCTAATAGAATATAACCTACGTTTTGTTTTTTTTTTGAGACAGAGTCTCTGTTGTCCAGGCTTGAGTATAGTGGTGCAATCATAGCTCACTGTAGACTTGCCTCCCAGGCACAAGTGATCCTCCCTCCTAAGGCATACCAAGTAGCTGGGACCACATGTCGTTGCCCAAGCTGGCAACTCCTGAGCTCAACCTCCACCTCCCAAAGTGTTAGGATTACAGGCATGAGCCACCACATCTGGCCTGCCACAACTTTTTTGGAGGTGGTAAGAGAACATAACACAACCAGATATCCTCTCAGGTTTACACAATGATCATCAGTACAATACTTTGGTAAACAATTTCTCATATAGTCTCCACAGGGCAGATGGCACAGAATACCAAAAAACCCAACTCTCCTGGCACAGACTAATATATAATACATGTCTTAAAAAACTAAGCATTTCTCGTTTTGCCCTAACTTTCCTAAAAACAATCAATTCCTGTATTTACCTCCAAAGAGCAGAGCTGGAGAACAAGTGAAATCAGGTAAATTTCGTGAGGATTCCTGTTCTTAAACTTCCATTAAGCAATTCTACTACTTACTTCCATTTTTAAGGAAGAAAAATGATATTAAAAGGACATCTTTTTATTATAATAAATGTCTTCCAACTTGCAGATAAGGAAGGAAAGGTATTCAGACTCGGAAATTTGCTTAAAAGTCACATAAATCGCTTTGTTATTAATCTCTGAGGCAATGATTTCTTCCACGGAATATATGGTAACCTCATTCCCACAATCTGGTATGTTCCCCCTTTCCTGAAGTTTCAAGTCACTGACTAAATGAGCCACTGTTAAAATGGGAAAGTGCACTATGTACTAAGTGTGTACATGCATGAATGGAGTATAGATTTATGTTAAGGGAGGAAGATGTAGGAAGGAATGGGAAGACTGAAACCCACTGTTCTCAAAAGCAAAAGAATATAAACATCATTCACTAAACTTCATTATTTGCTCTAAGGATTTAGATTACAGTTATGCCATACAGCAGATTTTTCTTTAAGACATAATCCACATTCTAATAGCTATTAGCATGAGGCCAGATGCTGTGATTCACACCTGTAATCCCTATTCAGGCCGAGGTGGGTGGATCACCTGAGGTCAGGAGTTTGAGATCAGCCTGGCCAACATGGTGAAACCCCATCTTTACTAAAAATACAAAAATCAGCAAGGCATGGTGGCAGGCACCTGAAATTCCAGCTACGCTGGAGGCTGAGGCAGGAGAATCGCTTGAACCTGGGAGGCAGAGGCTGCAATGAGCCAAGATCACACCACTGCATTCCAGCCTGGGAGACAAGAGGGACACTCCATCTTTTAAAAAAAAAAAAAAAAAAAAAACTTATTAGCATGAAACTTGAAAAATACCTGCTTCCCTTTAAATTAGGGCTTTGGGGCTATGAAAAGGAGTCTCCCAAGAGCCTGGTCTCAACCATCCTAATCATACTTGCCATTGTAATTTGTCTAATTTTCCAGTTACAAACTGGCATCCATTACTCCTTTTAAGACTTTTCAGACTCCTCTTAAAAACACTGCTTCTACTCATTTTAAGCAAATTAGAATTATTAAATGAGCTCACTAACAAAGCAGCATATGATATAGAAAGCAAAGGAGAGGCGGGGTGTGATGGCTCAAGCCTATAATCCCAGCACTCTGGGAGGCCAAGGCAGGGGTGGATCACTTGAGGTCAGGAGTTCAAGACCAGCCTGGCCAACACGGTGAAACCCGTCTCTACTAAAAATACAAAAATTAGCTTAGCATGGTAGCGCATGCCTGTAATCCAAGCTACTGAGGAGGCTGATGCAGAAGAATTACTTGAACCCAAGAGGCAGAGGTTGCAGTTAGCCGAGATTGTACCACTGCACTCCAACCTGGACAAGAGAGACAGAGTCTCTCTTTTTATATATATATATAAAAAAATATATAAATATTTATATATATATATATAAAATATATAAGTATTTATATATATATATAAATACACACACACACACACACACACAAAAAAAAAAATAAAAGCAAAGGAAGGGTAATATGTTTAGAAAAATTTTTTTTCAGGCACCTTTAAGCAAGTACTCCTCACCTCTATTCTTTGAACCAGGTAGGTCAATTATGTTTATATTTTTAAAAATCCTTTTGAACATTCCTTCTAAACTTTAATCAAACTAGTTCCAAAGATCCTGAATTAAGTTTGATGCTAGCTGCTTATCCACATTGTCATTCTCAACTAAATTCTACTAAAATACTCTTATAAACAATATACTAAATTGTCCAACAAAATTCTTTGTATAGGAAACAAATGATTTACCTTTAGTGTGATATACAATAGCAGCCCTCAGGTCAAAAGAACCCCAGCTATCATTCCTTTCTAGGCCTCTCTGGTATTTCTGTTCTTTGGCGGAGCCTAACAAAGTGTTCGTAGGAGAGGCCAGAGGATTTTGATTTTCTATCTCGTAGTCCTTTGAGAGAAACACTAAAGCACCTTGACTACTGGTGTCTGCTTTCTGCAGGTCACCTATATGACTGGGTTCCAAGGATAAGGCTCCACTCTCACTAGTAGTCCCAGATTTTAGAATGCTACCCAGAACTTGAGGACTAGTCCGTTTCTCCAGCTCATAAGCCTTGGGAAACACAGGATGCTCAGTTCCTGAGGGAATTATTTCAGCACCCTGTGAAACCAAAGTGGCAGGATATTCTCCTTGAAATGTCACCTCCATCACTTTATGCTCTGATGACTTCCCAATAACAGTCTCAGGGCCAGCACTGGGCTCATTTATGAATGATAAACCCCACTGATTCTGGAAGATATCCCCCAGGTTTTGCTGATCTGTCTGAGAGGGCAGATCCACTTGTGCTGTGCTCAACAGCACAGTTTGCATATTTGAAGGGTAGATAAAAAGGCTAGTCTTAATTTGTTCAACAGCTGCTGAAGTTAGACTCATGTCCTGGAGAACTGAATCTGTCCCAGAAGAGATGGGTGTTAGAGTATTAGCAGCAGTAGTTAGCAGTGGCTGACCCCCTGGAGGATAAACATTTGTATCAGTCCCTGCTAAAACAGGCCCATTAGAAAAGTTGGCAGAAGTAACAGATTTCAGCGCTGACATAGGGACCTGGGATATGCGACTTGATGATTGGGTCTGAGTTTCCCCAGTAGATGACGAAGATGATGAAGATGAAGTTGGTGACACAGAAGAAATCTGTATAGTTTTGTTGAGGTTTTCCTTAACTTTGCTTGCATAACTTATTTTAGGAACTATTTTAGCACTGCTATTGTCCACTGGAAACACTGGGGGTGGTTTAAATAGGGTCCATGAGTCCTCTTTGGAAGCAACAGCTGAAGCATGCTTTCCTTTGGGCCGATCATCAAACTTTTTGCTGTTCATACCAGGCTTACTTTCTGAGCTTTTCCGAAGCATATCACCGACAGCAGGTTTTCCTCGACTTGTTCCTCCAGGCCCAGTTTCATACTTCCAAATGGGCTTTGAACCATCTACTCGATTTCCCTTTTGTTCACTATAGTCAGGCTTGAAAGTTTCAAGTCCCTGTTTTAAGGTTGGGACACTGGTCTCTTGTTGCATTATTTTGTCCTGCACTATATTAAGGTTTTCACAACCCTTGGCACTATTGCGCCTAGCTTTCCTTTTTTTAGGAGTTGTATATCCGCTCTCAGATCCACTACCATCATTATCTGCTCCTTTACCCATATAACCATTAGTAATGTAGCCAGAATTATTTGTTACCACACCATTTGGAATTGCTATAGTATCAGACTTATCTACAGATTGGTTCTCTCCAGATTTATTTTCATAAGACTTCCCATTCTTTTTGTCCATACTGCTTTTCTGAATGAAATTCTTGGTTTTAATTCCTGCTTTCCCAAAGGTGTTAGCCTTTACAGTCTGCTTCAGGCTAGTGTCTACAACTTGCTGGTTGCCATTGAAGACCCTGGAAATAGGGTTGGTGGCTTCATCAGAACTCGGGTTCTTTAAAGATATTTCTCTTTCTCCAGCATTACCGTTTAGTTCACCATAGCCTAGGGAAGGAAAAAAAAGTTTTGTTTTTTGTTTTAATCATGACATGTAAATTACACCAATACCTAACATTTAAGAACTGTTTATTTACTGTATACTAAATAGACACTATGCCATGAGATGTAACTTTTTATTATTTCACATCTCTATGAGAAGACACTTGCCAGCCCCATTTTACAGACTATCTACTGCTAAGCAAAGCAAGAGGTAGAACTGAGCCAAGATTCAAACCAAAGTCTGAAGCCAGAGAAAACATGACCTCTTAAGCAGTATGCCAAATACCTCTCATCTAACAGAATCAATCTACCCATCACTCTCACAAGGGTGTTATAAAATTTTCTTTACAATTCAGAGCATAGATACCCTCTGGCCAAAAATAAAGTTTTACTGAAACAGTAATCATTACAAGGAAATTAAAGATTTCATTTCTACAAAACCATAAATAGCTGGTAGCCACTATCAGCAACTTCCAATGCATCTATCAAACATCTAATACTTGTGAACTTTTTCTAAAGTAGTCTTAAATTTCATTTTGACATTTCCCAGATACTAGATCACACTGTGAATACGTGATCTATGTACCAATGTTTCTAATCATTTTAAAACGTATTTTCTTTTTTTTTTGAGATGGAGTTTCGCTCTTGTTACCCAGGCTGGAGTGCAATGGCACGTAAAACATATTTTCTTCATTTTACATTTAGATAAACAGATTTTCAGAAAGATGAAGTAACTTGCTCAAGTCAAAGTGGCAGAACTGAAAATCTGACCTCCAGTCTATCTGCAATCCATGGTCTCCTACCACTAAGCAATACTGCCTTGACTCAAAATATGCAATGAGAAAATTTTACTAACAAAATCATAATAAAAGCATCTAATTTTTTAGTGTTATGGTATTCAGCTTTAATTAAAAACCTTCAACTGTGCACTGGCTCATGTCTGTAATCCTAGCACTCTAAGGCAGGCAAACTGCTTGATTTCAGGAGTTCAAGACCAGCCTGGGCAACGTGGAGAAACCCTGTCTCTACTAAAAAATACAAAAACTAGTTGGGCATGGTGCCTATAGTCCCATTTTGGGAGCAAGGGGCCTGAGGGAAGAGGATGGCTTAAACCAGGAGGCTGAAGCTGCAATGAGTATGCACTGAGATGGCACCACTGCCTCTCAGCCTGGGTGACAAAGTGAGATCCTCTCTCTTTCAAAAAAAAAAAAAAAAAAAAAAATTAAAAACCTTCAACCACCATAAAAAGTCAACTCTTGTTACTGTAAGTGATTCAAATAGTTTTCCACTATTATAAAATGGTGCTATCAGTTATCTACCTTTTTATGAAATGTTCACAAAAGCATCTTGAGGTCATTAGAAATAGATATATATACATACAGAGGCCAGGGGCATGGCTCACGCCTGTCATCCCAGCACTTTGTGAAGCCAACGCAGGCAGATCACGACGTCAGGAGTTCAAGAACATCCTGGCCAACATGGTGAAACCCTGTCTCTACTAAAAATACAAAAATAAGCTGGTGTAGTAGGGGGCACCTACAATCCCAGCTACTCGGGAGGCTGAGGCAAAATCGCTTGAACCCGGGAGGTGGAGGCTGCAGTGAATCGAGATTGCCCCATCGCACTCCAGCCTGGTAAAAGAGCAAGACTCTTGGGGGGAAAAGAGAGAGAGAGAGAGAGAGAGAGAGAGAGAGAGAAACCCAGTCTCTACTAAAAACACAGTATTAGCAGGGCCTGGTAGAGCATGCCTGTAACCCCAGCTACTCAAAAGGCTGAGGCAGGAGAATAGCTTGAATTTGGGAGGCAGAGGTTGCGGTGAGCCCAGATTGTGCCATTGCAGTCCAGCCTGGGCAACAAGAGTGAAACTTGTCTCAAAAACAAAACAAAACGAAAAAAAACGGAAAGAATGGGAAAAATAGATATACAGGCCTGGCAGGGTGGCTCATGCCTGTAATCCAAGCACTTTTGGAGGCCCAGACAGGCAAATAAGATCATTTTTAAGATCAGGAGTTTGAGACCAGCCTGACCAACATGGTGAAACCCAGACTCTACCAAAAATATAAAGGATTAGTGGGCATGGTGGTGCACGCCTGTAATCCCAGCTACTTGAGAGGCCGAGGCAGGGGAATCGCTTGAATCTGGGAGGTGGAGGTTGCAGTGAGCTGAGATCGTGCACCCCAGCCTGAGCAACAAGAGCGAAACTCCATTTCAGGAAAAAAAAAAAAAAAAAAAAAAAGATATACAATAGAAGGATACTCCACACACATTGAAGCCAGCAGAAATGAGGGGTCTAATAGGAATACTGCTTTTTTAAAAAAATAATGTTTAGAAAATGAGATTTCAAAAAAAAATAATGTAGAAGTCTAGAAGATTCACAACAGGACTTATTCATTCTACATTAGAGAAAAAGGTGCAAATACTAAAACTGAACAAATAAAGGCATTTTCTACTACTGTGTGAATTAAAAGTAACTCAAGTAAACATACTCAAGGCATAATCATTCCTAAAACAGACAGGCATAAAACCTGTACCATGAGAGAATATATCTTATATTCTTTTTATTTTTATTTTTTTTGAGACAGATTCTCGCTGTTGCCCAAGCTGAAATACAATGGTGTGATCCCGGCTCACCACAACCTCCGCCTCCAGGGTTCAAGGATTCTCCTACCTCAGCCTCCCAATAGTAGCTGAGATTACAGACAAATGCCACCACGCCCAGCTAGCATTTTTCTATTTTTACTAGAGAAGGGGTTTGCCACGTTGGCCGGGCTGGTTTTGAACTTCTGACCACAAGTGATCCGCCCACCTTGCTCTCCCAAAGTGGTGGGATTACAGGCGTGAGCCACCACATTTGACCTCTCATAAGAGTTAGATTCCACAGGGTTACATTATTAAAAAATTCTTGGCTGCTGGAAAAGCTATAATAGCCAATCAAATCAAATTTTTGGTGGCACAATTTTAACTATGAAACAGGAAGAAAGCGATAATTGGTTAGGATGTTTTCTAAAAGCTTTTTTCTCAGAAAAAAGCTAGGCATGGTGGCTACATGTGTAATCCCAGCACTTTGGGATCTGAAGCAGGTGGATCACTTGAGGTCAGAGTCCAAGATCAGTCTAGTCAACATTGTAAAATCCCATCTCTACTAAAAATACAAAAAAAGAAAAAAAAATTAGCTGGGCACGGTGATGCGCACCTGTAATCAAGAGGCTGAAGTAGGAGAGTCGCTTGAACCCAGGAGGCAGGGGTTGCAGTGATCCAAGATCACACCACTGCACTCCAGCCTGGGCCACAGAGTAAGACTGTCTCAAAAAGGAAGGAAGGGAGGAAGGGAGGGAGGGAGGAAGGGAAGGAGGGAGAGAGGGAGAGAGGGAAGGAGGGAGGGAGGGAAAAAAAGAAAAGCAGAAAGTTCCTAAATAAAGGCTCTCATCAATTTTAACAGATATATCTTTATCCCCTTACCTAACTCTGGAGGGAATACAAGATCTACCTGTATCATTTAACATGCTAACAGGTTAAACAAAGATTTGTATCCTTGGGCCTATTAGTCATAACTTTTCAGATTTCAATTAAAGTTGAACAATCTGAAATAGCAAAAAATCCAATCTCCAAACTAAGCCGAATCAAAGCTAACAATAATAATTCTTCCTTTAAGATTACTAGCATGTAGAAACTCAGATATTGGAAATCACCAAACAATGAAAAAATGGCTTAGAAACCACTGTGCTCCCACCCCAAAGTTTTAATAACAGAAAAAAAAAAAAATCTCGTTTAACTACATAAAGTGTTTGTCATGACAACCTTGTTGATACGTATAAAGTATGCCAGAAAGAAACTTTCTTTTAAATCTTAGATATTTTAGAAAAATGTAAACACTATAGAATAAATTTAAGAAATTAAAGGACTCCTAGCATTTTTATTATTTAAGGCTGCTACACTAACCCTACTTCCAATAGACTCAGCAAAACTCTAGTCCTGATAAATCTAGCTTTTGAATTACAAATTACTCAACACATTTGGCCTTCTCTTGCGCCCTCTTCTGGATAAAAAACTGTTCCTCTTTAGATTTGTGAGTAAAGGGCTACAAAAGCCTACCTCAATATGTTACAGATAAATTTCAAAAATATTCTAATGTTTTCTTAGTTATTAGCATTATGCATGTCAAAGCAACAGCACTGTGACCAAACCATACACTCGCCCAAAACTGTTTACATTTTGTCAAAACTGCTAATTTCAGTTTCCTCTTTATCCACTACCCCTTCCAAGATAACACATATTTGGAGGAATACCACTTTGAATGGTTTAGGGGCTGCTTATATAGAGAAAGAAGTCCTGCAACAGTGTATTAACCTGACCAATAAAATTCAATTTTCAATCTCAACAGTCATATTGTCTTATATAGCCATAATATGGTAGTATTTCCTCATCTTTTGAACAAGATCTAATGCTAAAAAGATCTAGTTATATAGTCCCTAACAGTTTTTAAACTGCTTCAGATCTTTAGCATTAAACACCTAACTCACATGTGTTCACTTCTACTGCATGCCATCGGTCCCTAACAACTCCCAAAATGGAAAATCTGACATTGTAATTTCAATCTTCAAGTTACGATCTGCAATAAAAGTTTTCCCCCAGCTCTCAATAATTCCTTCTCTCAAATTTAATACGCTGAGTTTAACATATGCTGATGCTTCTTCTCTTTGGATTTATAAAGAGCCCTTATTTTTAAAAATCTGCATGGTATTAAACTTTTAAACTCCTCGTGAAACACTTTATGACTTTTACCTCAATTTCTCGTTTAAGATTAGTTTGGGGATCAATATCGGTTTTAAAATATGAAAAACCTTTCTTTTTAACATGGAGAGAAACCTCATCCCAGGCAAGATGGTAGTAATCTAACCTCATGGATGAGCCACTCGGGTTCACCCATAAGGACAAGAAAGAGGAGTCAAAAAGCTCGCCCTCTTCCCCATCCTAACACTTTTTAAAATTCCTCACCTCAAAGACACTGCCCAAGCTCAGAAGGTAAGGGCTGGGTGGGGAGGGGAATGGAGCAAGGTTTTTTGTTTTTTGTTTTTTTTTTAAATAGAAAATGAGCTGTTAGAAGGAAAGGGCCCAAGTGAAAGCCTCAGAGGCGGAGTCGTGAGCGAACCTGGCAGGAGATGAGGTTCCTGTGGCAGAGAAACTCGTGACCGGGGAGCTGGGTTCCCGCTGGGTACCCCACCCGGCCTCAGGCACCGCCTCTACCCAAAATGAATCCCCCCGCCGCCCCTCCAAGGCCTCCTGCCCCGAGGAGCAGCGCGGCCGCAACCCGCGGCCTCCTTCCCCCCCACAGCTCTGCTTCGAGGCCGGCTCCCCGCCCCGACTGCCCGCGCCTCCCGCCGCACCCGGGAGCGGGAAACGCGGCCGCTGGCGCGCGGGGCCCGACGCAAGCCGCTCCCCTCGTGGCTGCTTCCCTCCCCCACCCCAACCGCCCCCGCCCCTCACCCCAGGGACCCGCCCGGGGCCGCGCGCCGCCACCGGGTTACACAACCCCGGCGGCGACGGGGGGAGGGGCGGCCACGGGGCGGGGGTCGGCGGTGCCCCCGCAGTGCAGGGGGCGAGGCGGCGGCCGGTGGTGATCCCGGGTCACCCGGCTCCGCCGCGCCTTGTGGACCTCGACACCCTTCCCCCTCCGCTCCTCAGTGGGCCAGAGTCGGTGACAGGAATCGGCTTCCAACATGGCGGACAGGAAGCGGCCCCGCGAGGAGGAGAGAACATTCCAGCCGCGCCGGCTCTAGGGGGAGCGAGCCCGGGGCGCCGGCCTCGGGAGGAGCCGAGGGGAAAGACTGCAGGGTCCGACGCCCAAAAAGGGCGTTTAGTGGTGGAAATGACCCGTGAGACAAGGGGTCCCAACAGCCCCCCCCCGCAAGACAGGGAGCCCCAAGGCCACAGGTGGGCTTGGGGTGGCGGGTGAGGGACACTTCTTCAACTCAGCCCACCTACCCGCTCCTCGCCGGCTGCAAAAGGGTCTCGCGACACCACCTGAGTCGGGATTCGCTAGGCCTTCCTGAGTTCCACCTCGAGGGATTTTCTGGGGGGGGTAGGTTCACCCCCTCTCAGGGCCCCCAAATTGAGGTAACTCCAGGGCGGCAGGGAGGTGAATGGGAAAGAATAATAAGCTTGGACTTGCAAGGCCCACCCAGCGGGTCTCCCTTCAGCCGGGGCGGGGGCCGGGAAGGTCACGCTGGCCTAGCTGGGCCTCTCCTATGCTGGAGAGGAGGAGAGGGCGCTGCAAACCCCATTGCCCAGCACGAGCTCTAGAATGAAAGGGGGCATCCCCACAGCCGGAGGGTACACACACACACTTCCACCCCGTCCGCGCTCTTCGGATCTGGCCCCACCCCCATCTCCCCTGTCCTCCACCCCCAACCCCCTTCCCCCACCCGTCCTCCCTCCCAGACCTGTTTTCTTCTTCGGCGTTTCCTGGTGCTGCTGGAGGGTGTGTTTCTGCTCATGTTTCAGCGGCTTTGGCTGGGCCTTGGGGCTGCCCTCGGCTCCATGCTGCAGGTATTGGTGAGGCTGCTGGTGATGATGGTGGTGGTGGTGGTTGTGGCTGTGGTTGTAAAAATAATAATGGTGGTGGTGGTGCGGCTGCTGCTGCTGCTGCTGCGGGTGATGGTGCGGATGGTGGTGGCTGTGATGGTGCTGAGGCTGTGGCTGGCCGGGCTTCTCCTCCATTGAAAGCGGCTGGGACTCCCTGGGTGAGGCTGCGGGCTGCTGCACCGTCAGGATCTGAGACTGCTTCTCAGGGCTCACTCAGTATATCTGAGCGCGTCTCGCCAGCGCACTGGTTAACCGAGCGATTCTGCAAGATTGGCAGTCGCGCTCCAGCAATCAGGAGCCACGCTGCGCCGCAAGCCCCGCCCCCAGCTCAAATCCTCTTTCCTTCCCCTTCCCCGCTGCCGCCTGGCCAACGCCACTTACCCTGTGCAACCTCACAGGGCCGGGCCTTCAACGTCAGCACTATGGCTCTCTCTTCTGTCGCTTTCTCTCCTTCACCACGCAGTCTGCGAACAGCACTTTCTACACTCCTCGCCGGCAAACAAGCTCGTGTCTAGTGTAGCAGATTCCACTGGCGATTCCACTGGCGCTGGGAGCCATCTGTTGGTTTTGCACTTCTTAGAATCTGGTGTTTTTTTGGTTTTTTAAAAAATCCTTTTCCGGGTAGCCAGAAAGGGAAGCTCAATTCCCTTAACCCCGCGACCACTAAAGAGGCAATACAAAAAGAGGAAATAAATACATTTTTAAGAATACAAGAGCTTCCCAATCCAGTAGATCATTTTGTATTCTGGATTCATTTTGCTTTGTATTCATATGCTAATCTCTTCCTTTCCACGAAGGGATTATTGGGTTCCACAATGGGGTATCTGTGTAATTTTCTAAAAGGGCACAAAGGGTTTAAATCATTGTTTCTTTGTAGTTGGAGGCAAGGGAGAGTGGGAGGAATGAAAATCTATACTGAAGGTTTTTTTGTTTTTTTTTTTTAATTAAACTTTGCAGGTGAGGTCAACTGTGGAACTAAAATAGGTTTTAGAATGTGAAGTTTCCAGAGCACAGGAAGGGGAGAAAGAGAACTTAAAAGTTAAGTGGGTTGTTGTGGTTTTTTTTTTTTTTGCACTTGGAAAAATTGGAATTTAAGGAAATATTCTGTGCTGTTTTGTAGTGTTGATTTAACTTATCCTGCATTACCACATCACAGTATGATTTTCAAAAGCAAATGTTAGAGCCGTGATAGTGGTTAGGAAGGAAGAGGGTTGTGATGGGGAGGGACACAGGTTACTCTGATAACTTTTGGGACAGGTGGTGATTATACATATATTTGCTTGATAATTATTTATTAAACTGATTATACATGTAAAACGCACATTTCTCAATACATGTTATAGATTGGGGGATTTTTTAAATTGTAAAATATTCATTGTATAAAACTTACCATCTTAATTTTAAGTGTACATATGGCCGGGCATAGTGGCTCACACCTGTAATCCCAGCACTTTGAGAGGCCAAGGCAGGCGAATCTCCTGAGGTCCAGGGTTTGAGACCAGCCTGACCAACATGGAGACACCCCGTCTCTACTAAAAATAAAAATAAAAAATTAGCCGGGCGTGGTGGCGCCTGCTGGTAATCCCAGGTACTCGGGAAGCTGAGACAGGAGAATCGCTTCAACCCGAGAGGCGAGGATTGTGGTGAGCCGAGATCGCGCCATTGCATTCCAGCCTGGGCATCAAGAGCGAAACTCCGTCTCAAAACAAACAAAAAAATTAAGCGTACAGTTCAGGAGCATTAGGTACATTCATATTGTTGTGGAACCATGACCATCATTCATCTCCAGAACTTTTTCATCTTTCCAAACTGAAACTTCGTACCCAATAAAATAACTGTCCTTTCCCTGCTCCTCCCATCCCTCGATAACAACTGCTCTGTTTTCTGTCTACGAATTTGGCTATTCTAGATACCTCATATAAGTGGGATTGTACCATATTTGTGTTTTTGTGACTGGCTTTTTTGCATAATGTCTTCAGAGTAGCATATGTCAGAATTTCCTTCTTTTTTAAGGCTGAATAATATTCTAGTATATGTATATACCACATTTTGTTTATTCACTCAGTAATGGACATATGGACTGTTTCTTCAATGTATGTTACATTTTAGAATTTTTTTTTTTTTTTTGAGACGGAGTTTCGGTCTTGTTAACCAGGCTGGAGTGCAATGGCGCGATCTTGGCTCACCGCAACCTCCGCCTCCTGGGTTCAGGCAATTCTCCTGCCTCAGCCTCCTGAGTATCTGGGATTATAGGCACGCTCCACCATGCCCAGCTAATTTTTTGTATTTTTAGTAGAGATGGGGTTTCACCATGTTGACCAGGATGATCTCGATCTCTTGACCTCGTGATCCACCCACCTCGGCCTCCCAAAGTGCTGGGATTACAGGCGTGAGCCACCAAGCCCAGCCAGCCATGCTAAATTTTAAAGAAAAACCTCTTTGGGGGTACATTTACCAAATTTTGAGAATGAAAACCCTAATAATAATATAAAATCACAATACATAAGTCTTTACCATTGAATAATATTCCACTACTTTCCCAATTATTAAAGAAAAAAAGGTCAGGTGTGATGGCTCACATCTGTAATCGCAACACTTTGGGAGACCGAGGCAGATCAGTTGAGCCCAGAAGTTCAAGACCAACCTGGACAACATACAGAGACTCTTTCTCTACAAAAAAATTTAAAAATTAGCCTGGCATGGTGGTGTGTGCCTGCAGTTGGGAGGCTGAGATGGGAGTATCACTTGAGCCCTCAAGGCGACAGAGTGAGACTCTGTCTCAAAAAAAAAAAAAAAAAGAAAGAAAAAGAAAAAGGAAGAAGAAAGAAAGAAAATGATATAAAATTTAGGATTATGGTGATATTTTTTGTTGATTTAGACATTTAGTTGGAAGTCTTGAATTTCAGAGTTGTGACTTCTCTTTCTAGGTTTTCTACACTGTAGTTGCAGGCAAATCAAAAGTACTCATTCTGTATTTCTGATTTATCACACTTTTGCCTGCCTTAGCTTTTCACTTAACGGTTGTACTGACTGAGTTTAAGAAACTAAATTTTGGGCCGGGCGCGGTGGCTCAAGCCTGTAATCCCAGCACTTTGGGATGCCAAGGCGGGTGGATCATGAGGTCAACAGATGGAGACCATCCTGGTCAACATGGTGAAACCCCGTCTCTACTAAAAATACAAAAAAATTAGCTGGGCATGGTGGCGCGTGCCTGTAATCCCAGCTACTCAGGAGGCTGAGGCAGGAGAATTGCCTGAACCCAGGAGGCGGAGGTTGCAGTGAGCCGCGATCGCGCCATTGCACTCCAGCCTGGGTAACAAGACCGAAACTCCGTCTCAAAAAAAAAAAGAAAAGAAAAGAAACTAAATTTTATTCTCATATGCTCTAGTTACTATGAACGTTGCCTTAGTAGTATGCAGTAGTATGGAGAAAGGCTTACGATACAATGTAAGAAAAAATGCAGAATATTACATTCTCATATGCACTAGACTCATAATCTTGAAGAACATGAATTTTAAAAATAAGAATGGAAATACAACAGTAAAACATAGACCTTTTTATTGACTTTTCTGAAGATGTTTTATATAAAATATATTTGAGATTTGCCATGCATATGAAATATTCTGTTATAATAATGCCCTAATACTAAACTTCTGTGAAAAGAAAATAACTGGGTCTACTTACTTCAAGCAGTTTTTATAAAATGGAATCTGCATTAACGAACAAAACACAAGAAGAAAATATAGCATAAGTCTGATGAAATTATAGATGTTCTTTTTTTCTTTTCTCTATTTTCCAGATGTTCTGTAGTCGTTGTTACTTTTCATATACATTTTTTTTTCTTTTTTGAGATGGGTCTCACTGTGACGCCCAAGGTGGAGTGCAGTGATGCCATCATGGCTCACTGCAGCCTTGCCCTTCCTGGCTCAGGTGATCCTCTCATCTTAGCCTCCCAAGCTGGGACTACAGGCACATGCCACTAGGCCTGGATGATTTTGGTTTTTTGTTTTGTTTTGTTTTTCTGAGACATTGTTGCATTCTGTTGCCCAGGCTGGAGTGCAGTGGCACAATCTCGGCTCACTCCACCTCTGCCTCTGAGGTTCCAGTGATTTTACTGCCTCAGCCTCCTGAGTAGCTGGGATTACAGGCACGTGCCACCATGTCCAGCTAATTTTTTATATTGTTAGTAGAGATGGGGTTTCACCATGTTGGCCAGGCTGGTCTCCAACTCCTGGCCTCAAGTGATCTGCCCATCTTGGCCTCCCAAAGTGCTGGGATTACAGGTGTGAGCCACTGCACCAGGCCATAAAAGCATTATGTTTAGAAATGAAATTAATTTAAAAATATAATCGGTACAATTCTTTGAAATTCATTTCCCGCAGCATTTTACCTACCTACAGTCAACATGGGAAGTTTCAATGGAGAGACAGAGGTTCCAACACTTGGTAGCATGTTTTGACTATCTATATAATAGCTAATATTTATTGGGAGCTTACTATATGTCAAGAACTATTCCAAGTATTTTATCTTCATCTGTCTTTGTAATTCTTTGAGATTGATATTAAGCCCATTACACAGATGAAGAATTTGAGGCCTGAAGAAGAGACTCGCTCATTATTTATTTATTTATTTATTTTTATAACAAACAGCCAACCAATATTTCATTTAAGTCTATGAAATACTATGCAAATACTGAAGAATGATTTACTTCCAATTATGTGGTCACTTTCAAAATAGGTGTCGTGATAATGAGAAAAATGTATGTTCTGTGGACCTGGGTGAAGAATTCTATAGATATTCACTGAATTTACTTGTTGCAGGTCTGAAATCAAATCATAAATGTCCTTGTTAATCTTCTATCTCGTTGATCCGTCAAATATTAACAATGTGGTGTCAAAGTCTCCCGCTGTTATTGTGTGGGAGTCCAAGTCTCTTTATAAATCACTGAGAGCTTGTCTTATGTATCTGGGTGTTCCTATATTGGGTGCATATGTATTTATGATCATTGACTCCTATTGTTGTATTGATCCTTTTACCATTATATATATAGTGTCCTTCTTTGTTTCTTTTAGTCTTTGTTACTATTAAAATATATTTTGTCAGAGACGAAAATTAACACTCCTGTTTTTGTTTTTGTTTTTTCTCTCCATTTGATTGGTAAGTCTTCTACCAAAGTTTTGTTTTGAGTCTTTGTGTGTCCTTGCTTATGAGATGGATCTGGATACAGCGTACCGATGGCTTTTGACTTTTTATTCAATTTTCCTTTCTGTGTCTTTGATTGGAGCATTTAATCCATTTAAATTTAGAATTAATATTGATATTTGTGAGTTTAATATTGTCGTTTAATGCTCGCTGGCTATTTTGCCC